TGGTGCCAAGATAGAGAGATATGGTGCGCGCAAATATAACGCGTCTCAAAGTGGATCCTTTAAAAATTAGATGGCGAGTGTGTATTAATATTTGGCGATATTTTAATAGCGTTTATCTTTGATTTTTATTTGAGATCGATTATGGGAAGAATTTGTTTGGGTCACGAATATGTTTCTCCATGTTACTAATGTATTATTTTAAACTCATATGACTTAAAAAGAAAAAATGGAACTCATTTGAAAGAGGATCGCGTAAAAAATTTGTAAGCCTAGCCAAATTTAATACATTTCACCAGAGGTTCAATTTAATAACTGATTTTAGATAGACAAAAATTATGTGGCTGATTATTAGGATTGTGATTTTATTATGTATGATTAATAGTTTAGACTTAAGCTTCAACATAACTAGTTTTAACTAGTTTTTTTTTCAAACCAGAAATTATTGAGTCCCCTTGCCGTCAAGCTGACCGTAGGAGGTTTTCGTGGTTTTCCTCTCCATGTAAAGTAAATGCGGGTTAGTTTCATCAAAATGTCCTTTAAGAAGGCAGATTCCTCCTATTACTTGGTCCAGAAGTTCCCTTGTCTTCTTGATTGGATCCAAAATTACAAGACTACGGATTTGAATATTAGTAGTCTTAAACCCCCCAAAAAATAAATAAATAATTGAATCGGCTGTTTAAAGACGGTTATGAAATAAAATTCTGAAGAAAAAGAAATAAATTATAAAAAAAAAGGAGCACAGAAATTATATTATCCGTAAGTCGTATTAAAAACTCGTACTTATATTTCATGGAAATTTGCTCTTTAATGCCACTGTAGTTATTTATAGAAACACGAAAAGAATTACTAATCACTTCGTTTCAGTTTTAAAAATAAATTAATTCAATTGTAATTATTTTAAATTTATAGTTTTAAAAATGATGAAAAAAAATTTAAATTTTACGTAAAAAGTGTTCATTTGTGCATAACTTTAATTTACTCATTAATTATTTGCAGCTGCTAGAATTTTGCGCCTAGTTTAAATTTGAAAAACCAAATTTTCGTTTGGTCCAGGATGGTGCAAATCTAAAAGTAAGATATTTAAACTATCAAACATAAAAAAAAACTGTAGTAATTAAAAACTGCTGTAATTTATGAAAAAACTGTAGTAGTTGGATTAATAAAATGCCCATGTACGACGGCTGTTTTTTTTTAGTTTTTTTTTAGGGTTAAGTAAGGGCCATTTTGTTGTTTACGCTAATAGGTGACGCTTGCGTCGTGTCCTGGCATTCCTTGGGAACAACTGTGTAGTTACAGCTGTGTAGATAAACTGTAAGGTCAGTTCTGTGTCTTTAAAATGTTCAAGTTAAACAGATTGCCCGTCGCGTATGAAGTACGGTCAGTGATGTGTTTTTAGTCGGCAAAAAACATGTCTTCTGCATACATTCACCGGCAGATTTGTGAAGTTTGCAAAGCTTCCTAATGGCATGCTGACAGGAAAATCTCGCTATCCATGACAATGATTCTCTCCACAGCTCAGTCCCGAGCATTATTGAACTTTTTTGGCTGGGAAGTTTTGGACCACCCCGCAATACAGCTCAGACCTTGCTCTAAGTGATTTTCATCTTTTCCGATGTTTCAAACATTATTTTGGAGGCAATCATTACAACAATAACGAAGACGTGAAAACTATCTTGGTCTCTTGGTTATTGGAGCAGGCAGCAAATTACTATGTAAAGGGTATTCCAAATCTAGTTGTAAGGTATGATAAGTGTTTCAGCAATCTAGGCCACCATTTATTTTTTACATTATATAGTTGTCGTTAAACGGCCAACCCAATTTTTGGTTTAAGACTTCTAATATTCAACTCCGTGGCCTTGTCATTTTGAACCCAATGCGGAAGACAACGGAACTCCTGTATCAAGTATTGGGAGAAATTTGCCTTCGTGGAGGACTTGCACATGGAACTTACCAGCATTTGCGTTTCATGGAGAGGAAGACCCTGAGAACCTCCCACGGCTAGCCTGACGGTAATGGGACTCTAACCCATGATCCGTCTACCACTGAGGATATTTCACGTCAGCACTGTGGTCGGTGCAAGCCGGATGCGAATTCGTATCGACAAGCGATCGCCAGGATTCACCTGATTGGAAGTAGACCGCTCTGTCCCCTGATCGTCGCTGCTCTGACAATTATTTTGAAAAAAAAAAGAAAAAAGGGAGTAAACATATGTAAAATTAAAAAATAAATTTGTTAGTGAAAATTTTCTTCCATTCGAATTTTTTTTTCGAACTGCCCTTACTTGAAAAACTGCCCTCGTATATTGGAAAAGTTAGGAAGCCGTTCAAATCTTACGTAAACATGTATTGGGGAAGAATATTTGAGTTTTGCTTAAGAGTTTATTCTTAAAATTTGATTGCTACATTAAAAACAAAAGTAAACTTAATAGCAAGGGTGTGCAATCCCTTACATAAGCAAGGGAGGAGTTTTTAATTTACTTATTTTTGCTGACAAGGAAAATGGGTATTCCAAAAACACGTTCGCATAATATTTGTACGGTCCCCGTATTAAAATTATAATTGATTCAATATGTTGCCAACCAAGATAAAGAAATAACTGCGAATTCGGTGCCACGTGAAACAATTATATATGAAGATAATGATTGGCGGGAGTTGATGACGTTTGGGAAAAACTGGACTACTCAGTGAATAATAAATTCGCTTAAAATTCATTATTCTTATTCTCATTCGATCTAAAATTCTGCATAAATATGTTAATTTTTCTACGAGTATTGAGAGTGAGATAATGAACTCTGCTACTGACACACATAATTTAAAAATAACATCTACATTTCACCTAAAATATATAGTAGTATCATCACATCTTGTAATTTCCTTTTCCTTTATTATCTTGTTTTGATAGTTACAGTCGCGTTTGTGCTCTAGACATGATACGTACACTAGAATTAATTACGGAAATTAAATTTTCATCTCCTGAATTGAAAATGCTATTTTGTTGGATAAAATAGTGTGGCAGTACATGATGTTGAAAATTACCATTTTCGGGAAAGAATTTAGTTTAGTAATCTAATCTTTTGGAAAATCCGTTTTTATATTGTTGGGATTTATGGATGATACCTGTAGGAAAGCACAGCTTATTAATTTATTTCTACTACTACACACCCACAAATATATATATATATGTATGTGTGTGCGTTACAAATTTCTTTCTACGTTTTATTTTTTTTATATCTACTTACTACGCAAAAGTTATTATTACTATTTTTTTTTTGATAGTTTCAAAATTATTTTATGGGGATAAAAACATTTAAAACAAAAAATTTATTACGGAAAATGAGTAAAAAAAAAAAAAATTCATGTATTCACCTTCTTTCTCTTTTATAGTTTTTATGTTATTATTAAAAAAGAAGTAAAATAAATAATAATAGCTATTAACCCTTAAAATATTAAAACATTATTAAGTTTTTCTAGAAATTTATTTTAATTTACATATTAAAAACCTTTTTTTTTTTTAAACTTAATTTAAAACAATTTCGAACATAAAAATAGCAAAATTATAATCACAAAAGGTACAAACCATACAAAGAAGGTAATCTAAATTTCTCTCGCCATTTGGACTTAGTTTTTTCTTCCAGGCATATTTTTATGCTCGGAAAAATATACAAAAGTTTTTTTTTTTNCTACTTCGAAATAGTTATTAAATTTTAAGTAATTAAAAATTGCAAATTTTATCAAACAAATTACAATTTTCCCCCTACAGTCGAAAAGCAGTTTTGGCTATAAAAAGTTGCTTTAAGAAATTTTTCCTTAATCGTAAATTTTAATGGTTGCGGTTTTAATATTTGCATTTATTGTTTTTTTTCGCTCAAGCTTGCATTTTTCATAATTTATATTATCACAACAAAAGTGAAATGTATAAAATTTTTATATTTTATACATTTTATTTTAATTTTTATATTTTATACATAGTGCGTGTGACATTTCTGGCATGTTCCTTGCTATCTTATATTGTACCTTGCTATCTAATTTACAGTTCGCCATTTACTTCTAATTTACAGTTCGCCAAAGTTGGAAACATGATTTTTAGTCCCCTTTGTATTTGCAATTATATCGGGGGAAATTTAATCACCAGAGTTAAAGCAGAGCATAATTTAGGCATAAATAGGCTAAACTTGACCATTTTTATTCAGTTCATGGAATAAGCAAATTTTTTTCCCCTTAGAAAAGTTGCTATTTGTAAACAACACTTTTGCATTTTTTTAAAAAAGTACTTTTTCCACTTCATACAATTTGTTAGGGTGCTATTTCGGAGAACATCCTCCACGCTTAAAATGAAATAGATTCATTTTCTGAACATGACTAATAATTTATTTTTTTTAAATATATTTTCTTATTTTACATAGTTTATTAATGGGACCTTCCAGAAAATTCCAAACATGTATTATTATTTTAGATTTTAAATCATTTCAAAATCAAAAAATTATAAAGAAGGTTGAGAAAAAAGTTAGTATTTAAATGATTTCATGATCTGAATTTAAAAATGTGTATTTCTTCCTAAATATCAGACATATTCTTTACTATTTTAGTTATTGATCTTGCAATTGCATATAATTTTAGGTGTATTAAAATCTGCGATTTTAAAATTGAAATTTTTAAATTGCAATTTTAAAATTGAAATTTTTAAAATGTCGCATATCTTCTTAAAAAACTCAGTTTTATTAATTTATTTAGGCGAAAAAACAAACAGTAAGGTTAATAACATGTATTACGTAGTATCATAAGACTATATAAACATGTATTTCAGCTACAAAATATAAGCTACATCCATATACTGGAGATAAAAATGATATTTTATATTTTTAATTGTTAATTGTAATTAAATTTTTTAGTTTCTCTTACCTCAGTACTTTTTAGAATATATATGCTGAAATAATAATAACTTTTTGTAACAAATGAACTGAACTATAAATGAATTTGAATATTTTTTTTCTTCTTTTTCAGATAAGGAAGTACATGACAACGAATCATATGCTCAAATGAAAACCCTGAACAAATTAGTCATTACAAAAATTCCATTTTTATTTATTTAGATTATTTCTACTTAAGACTGTAAAATTGCAGTTTATGAATTTTCGTGTTCTAAACTTTTCGTTCATTGAGTTCTAATCTCATAATTTACAATGATTGTGCCTTTTCATTAATGATTGTGCCTTAAGTCATAATGATTGTGCCTCAAGTCACATGAATGTGTAAATAATTATTTGTAATATTTCAAAATTTGGTGCTTCGATGTTTCACAAATGTGAAAAATGTACATTTTTACTGTTTAAAAAAAATTATTTTTTTAAAGTTTTGTGCTATGCTATGATGATTTCTAAATTACATGAATTAAAATGTATATCAAATGAAAAATTTTTTGATACACATCTGTGTATCAAAAATGATACATTTGAAGGATGAATATGTTGATAAATGTTTTTATAAACATCAAACAGAAATTTATATTCGTTATGAATTTTGGATTATTTGATGCTTTGTTTGAAAATTAAAAACAGGAAAATAGTTGTAAATGTTACAAATTGTGAACTCTCTGTGATATATAGCTGTAATTTAGTGCATGAACATGAGTCTTAAGAAAAATTAACTAGTAATTTCCATTATAGTTTGAGTTTTAATTTTTAAATACATTAAGAGTCCCCTGACGTTAGTTAAATACATAAAGTTTTATATTTTTCTCTCCTTTTTAATAGTTCTTTTCAATGGCTATTAATGGCAATGCCTTATAGTGTAACACAAGTAAAAAGTTTGGAAATTGGATGAATGAGTTTGCACTTTTTAAAAATTTAAAAAAAAATGTTCTAACATTATAAAAATACAAACCGAGAAACGCCCTAAATATTTTAAAGAATCCCTTAGAAGAGCAAAAGAATCCAAAAGTTCAACAAAAAAAAATTATAAATAAATATAAATAAATGCAATAGCCTTGGCCTTAATGATAATAAGTTTCAATTCCTTAATTTTTAGAAACGATTCTTTTGTTTTCAGAAGAGTTCCTGTTTCAACTTGTTTAAAAATTAATCTGAGACTCCTAATGTGCATTATGTTTTTAAATCATATTTGACAAGGTTTAAAGTTTTATATCAATTTTAAATCAAAATTTTTCATGCTATAACAAGGATTTTTCACATTATTTTTACAAATTTTGTAGCAATACTAAACATTTTGGATGATCAAGGAATATTTTCTAAAAAACAGTTTTCAATTATTATCCATAAAAGATTTTGAAATCACTTGTATTTTTTTCTCATTTTGAACATGCATAGACACTGATGGCCATAATTATGCATTTTTAAGAGTAAGCTGTGTGAGGTTATGAATGAAAAGTTATAATTATTTCACCTTTTAAAATGGTTGATTATTAATTGTTGAACTTGTAAGATATGTGTATTGATTTTTGAATTTTTCTTAAATACAAACTCTTTCTTTTTGACATGCTTACAACAGAAATTGAATTTTAAAAAAAAGTTATTTTGTAAATTTTTATTCTATTATTTTGCATCGATATATATGTATATAGTTTTGTACATAATTTGAAGATAAATCTGGTTTTGGAAAAATAAAAGTTTTATTTTGTAAAAACATTTTGTGCATTATTTTGATTATATATCTAAATAAACCAATATATAGTTAGTAAAAGAAAGAAGAAGAAAAATACCATAAAGAATTTTTGATGTAATTATCGGATTTTTCCGTATTGCAGTGAAAACTGCAGTCCCTGTTTCGTTTAACATTTATTATCACATTTAAGAATAGATATGCTTATGACATAAAACACGGAGCACAAATAGTTCAAAAGTACACAAATATGACAATGTGCATACCTTTTTGTTTTAGAGCAATGTGTACAGTACAATGTGTTTACCTTTTTATATGGGCTATTATTAAAAATTAAACCATTTCTAAGATAATCAAGATAACTCGAAATGAATGTGAGGACAAAACTCGCACATAATACTGGCAAGATAATAAGTCACAGATAACACTGTTTCAACCGGTAACACGTGACTGCTTATATCCAATCGTTTTCCTCAATCCGGGCCACGATGGCTCAGGAGATAGAGGTTTCGCTTTCCAATGAGGTGAACCGGGTTCGAATCCCACCGATGGCTAGCCGATATGAATCCGCATCAGGCTTGCCCCGACCACAGTGCTGTCGTAAAAATATCCTCAGTGGTCCCTTTGCCGTCAGGCTGACCGTGGGAGGTTCGCGTGGTCTTCTTCACCATGTAACGCACACTCGGGTTATTTCCATCAAAAGTTTCTCCACGAAGGCAAAATTTCTCCCCAATACTTAATCCAGGAGTTCCCTTGTCTTTTGAATTGGGTTCGAAATGACAAGACTACGGAGTTAAACGTTAGAAGTCGTAAACTCAAAAATTGGTCGGGTGTTCAACGACGGTTATAAAATAAAATCCGAGCAGTTTATAATTGAATGAGTGTTGGAGAAATTTTCACGGAGCACGGATCAATTTAATAGCCCAATGTAACGAACATAAACTGCGCAGTGGATGAAAAATAAGAAGGATGTCACTACGGTGGTGGTGAAATACGAAAGATGTCATTATGTCACTACGTTTGATCTAATAAAGGATCAAATTTCTTGTTTATGATAACCCGCGCTGAGGCCTTCTCTTTTCTAGGGAGGAATTGATATAAAACTATTCAAAAATTTAACTTGTAAAATTTATTCCAAGTTTTAATGAGAGAAAGGGGAATAAAATGAACTTTGGTAATTTAATTCAGTTGTTACCGGCAAAGTATGAAACGCCGGCATTGTATATAATGCCGGATGTTTTTAGGCAAGGTATGAAATATGAGAAGTATTACAAACTTTCTCTAGGCATTGTATATAATACCTAGGCATTCAATAGAATGACAAATGCTATTTAAGCAAAGTATAGAAGGAAAGCGTCCTGATGAGATTATTACGTAAATCATGTGCATTTCTTAAAAATAAAAATGTTTTTCTGAAAAAATAATGAGAGTGCCATTAAAAAATTTTTATGCAAAATGCATGAAGAAAAATTAAAGTTGTACTAAACATAATTTACGCCTTTCTTATTAAGGGAAACAAAATTTTCATATAAAAAAATAAGAAATTAATCTACTTGTTGCAACATTTCAGGCTTGAATGACATTTTAAGTGCAGAATGGAATTGAAATCGGAGATGCATTTTATACTTTGCCGGCTTCTCATTTGGCATTCTATAGAATGCCTAGGAAATGTGTGAAATATAAATCGTAGTGGTAGATGGATCANCTTCTTGAAGACAGACTGCTTCAGCACAGATCAATTTAATAGCCCAACGTAACGAACATAAACTGCGCAGTGGATGAAAAATAAGAAGGATGTTTATACGGTCGGGCTATTAAGATGTCATTACTTCACTACGTTTGGTCTAATAAAGGATCAAATTTCTTGTTTATGATAACCCGTGCTGAGGCCTTCTCTCTTCTAGAGAGGTATTGATATAAAACTATTCAAAAATTTAACTTGTAAAATTTATTCCAAGTTTTAATGAGAGAAAGGAGAATAAAATGAACTTTTGTGATTTAATGTATATGTTACCGCAAAGTATGAAACCCCGGCATTCTATAGAATGCCGGATGTTTTTAGGCAAGGTATGAAATATGAGAAGTATTACAAACTTTCTCTAGGCATTGTATATAATACCTAGGCATTCAATAGAATGACAAATGCTATTTAGGCAAAGTATGAAGAGAAAGCGTCCTGATGAAGTTATGGCGTAAATCATGTGCATTTCTCTAAAATAAAAATGTTATTCTGAAAAAATAATAAGAGTGCCATAAAATTTTTTTTATTCAAAATGCATGAAGAAAAAGGAAAGTTGTACTAAGCATAATTTATGCCTTTCTTATTAAGGAAAACAAAATTTTCATATAAAAAAATAAGAAATTAATCTACTTGTTTCAACATTTCAGGCTTGAATGACATTTTAATCACAGAATGGAATTGAAATCGGAGATGTATTTTATACTTTGCCGGTTTCTCATTTGGCATTGTATAGAATGCCTAGGAAATGTGTGATATATAAATCGTTTCATACATTGCCGGCTAGTTTTAGGTATTATATACAATGGCTAGGCATTCTATAGAATGCCGGAATTCAAACTTTGCCGGTAGCATAGGCAAGATATAAATACCTGAAGAACCACATCGGGAGATTAAAATAAAATGGCAAGGAAAGGAACTTCTGATTTTCGAATTCAAAACATTCTCATTTGGCATTGTATTATAGAATGCCCAGGAAATGTGTGAAATATAAATCGCTTCAATGCCGGCTAGTCTTAGGCATTCTATAGAATGCCGGAATTCAAACTTTGCCGGTAACATAGACAAGATATAAATACCTGAAGAACCACATCGTGAGGTTAAAATAAAATGGTAAAAAAAAAAAACTTCTGATTTTCGAATTCGAAACAAAAGCAAAAACCGCTTTCAAATAATAAATTCCATCTACCCTACCAGCAAGAACTTAAGAAGGGAAAAAAGAAGAAAATCCTCGTTGTCGTTGGCCACTATTAATTAAGATAACATTTTTCTTAAGAAGGTTTCCCTTCATCTTTTAATTGTTTGGTTGAAGGAATTTTGATGAAGGTGGGTGTGGAAAAAAAAAAGCTTTTGTTTTAGTTTGTCTTTTTTTTATTTTTGTTACTACCTTCAAGACTGTGAAGGCTGGTAAAAAACAATCCGTCATATGCCGTCATTTCATTCCCTTCTCTGTACATTATTTTTGTTTCCTACACCTACATCTAATCGCTTGAGAAGTTCACCTACCCTTCTTTGCCTTTTTGTTCTATTTCTTTAATTCTTAATGTGCGTATTAGTGTACTACTGTGCTAATTACTCTAATGTGCTACTTATTTTTTTTTTAATATGTATTACCGATTAAACTCGAAAGCTGTTAATATGTACAGCTCCTGGCCAAATTATTAGATCTTATGTAAGATCTTAATATCAGGAGATATTATACAGCTTTATTATTTTCAAGCGACTGAAACTGGTTTGCACTTGTTTACGTCATTTGGTTAAATCAGAAGATACATAATATAAATTTGACGGTTGGATAAATTAGTCGATATATTACATAAATATAGACTATTTATTATATCAGGTATTATATTAGTTTATTATAAAAATAAGACCAACTTATTAGACCCACTGTAACTTTTTTAATAATTGCATGCTTTTGCAGGAGTTTATAAGCTTTACTTTTATAGTTAAACATGCATGTAATGGGTTTTTATTCAGGAGATTTTTTTTATGTACTTCCTATTTGTATTATTTTTAACTGATTGCATTACAATGTTAACCCATTGATGCAGTAACGTAAACAACTGCCAACCGGTTTCAGTCACCTAAAAACAATAAAGCTGTGTGGTATCACCTGATATAATTAAGATTTTACATAGAATCTTATAGTGCGTCTAATAATTTAGCCAGAGACTGTACACTACGCAGAAAATTTGCGGATGAACTAAAGTAATCCGTTTAAGTGCGGAATCAAGAGTTTTCACTATGTAATTGTTTCACTTCGCTAAGTTAAAGTTCTTTTTTTTTTTTCTCTTATTCTTTGATTGAATTTATTGACTCGATTCTGCAGACATTTCTTTATTGTTATTTTCCTTAAATAAACCGTTTGAATCTTTGCAATTATAGTTTTTAATATTCACTAATAGTATAGATAGCGAAAAACAAATAATGAAGCGTGTTGTCCCATCTTATTTTCACTTTAACGAGTTGGTAATGTGCACATTGAGGAGTGTGAAGGAAAAAAATCTGGCACTTTAACGGATTGTCGTTGTTAAACTGCATATTAGCTATAATCTGCAGAAAAGTCGCGATGGTTCTGGGGATAGAGCCTTCCTATGAGGTGGGCCGGGTTCGAATCCCAGCAACGACTGGTTAATACGAATTCTGCACCTACCACAGTGCTGACATAAAATATNAATAACTGATATAATAACATTTAAAATAAGGAATTTATTTTTTTTTCTAGTAGAGGATAGTCTACTTTACTCGTCTGTCAATAAATACTAATAATATATTGAAATTTTTGTCAGTTAAAAATAGTTAAGTAAAAAATGTTACAATTGACCCCACTCTCCCCTATAGATAGCAAGAAACAAATAATATTGTGTTTAATGAAGCATGTTATCCCATCTTATTTCACTTTAACGAGTTGATAATGTGCACATTGAGAAGTGTGAAGAAAAAAAATCTGGCACTTTAACGGATTGTCGTTGTTAAACTGCACATTAGCTATAATCTGCAGAAAAGTCGCGATGACTCGGGGGATAGAGCCTTCCTATGAGGTGGGCCGGGTTCGAATCCCAGCAACGACTGGTTGATACGAATTCCGCCTCCGGCTCGTACCGATCATAGTGTTGACGTAAAATATCCTCAGTGGTAGTTGGATCCTGGGTTAGTGTCCCCTTGCCATCCAGCTAACCGTGGGAGGTTCTCCTCAGGGTCTTCCTCTCCATGTAACGCAAATGCGGGCTAGAGTCCATCAAAAAAT